TTTTGGCGGGAAAACTTAATCCAATTAATTAACCAGGTGAGGGTGCCAATTATTTTTTTTTTGGCGGGAAAATGGACTGAACAAAGAAGTGTGGAATTAATATAAAGATAGACAAGTTTTTTGGCAGAATTTAAAAGTGTAAAGAAAGGTCTAAAGCGACAATTTTGGGGGCAATTTGGCATTCATACGATACGAAGAGCGATGACTAAGGAATTAATGCAGCCAGCTCAGATACGAAGTTTTTCGGTGGGAGAATTTAAGTGTAAAGGTCTAAAGCGACAATTTTGGGGGAAATTTGGGATACATACAATATGAAGAGGATGACTAAGGAATTCATGCGGCTGGCTAAGATTCAAAGTTTTTCGGCGGGAGAATTTAAGTGTAATGGTCTCAAGCAACAATTTAGGGGCAATTTAGCATTCAACCGTACGATATGAAGAATTTTTCAGTGTTGCTTAACATGAAATTGAAGTTGCCGGCTACAATAAACGTTAAATGAAAAAAGAGAAATGTGAGTGCAAGTGTGTGCATGTGGAGTGTTGTCTCGTGTTCACAAAGAAACCATACTCACTCGTCCCCATCTTCTTTCATGCAGCCCTGCCTACAAAGTCTGGTTCTTCCTCCTGCTGCAATCCGGTCTTCGGGTCCACAACTTCAAGACAAAGGAACAAAAGTCACTGTACTAGCAATTGGCCTTACTAAAGCATGATTACATGCATATCACACAACATGCAAGTTTATGTCAAGGAGTCTAGAAAAGTGTGTCATATTGTGTAATTAAAAGCAGTGACTGGACAAGTGGATTATAGGATAGAAATGTATTAGCATGGGTGTGTTGCTGAACAAATAAACTATACTCACAACTGTGCCCACTGTCTTCATTTCCTTCTGCATCTTCAAGTCAACTGGTTTCTCCCAGAACAGACAGCCGACCCTCAGGACACACCTAACAATATGAAAGGATAATAAGTGTGATGGAAAAACACCATGCAATTCAACTATCCGATCGCATGATTGAATAGACTTTTTCGAACGTACTTGTAGCATTTTACATGTCAGAGTTCTTAGCATACTAGTACATGTGAGAACAGGAATAAGTCATGTAAGTTGTAAAAGTTGCTTGAATACATGTACCAAAATGTAGGTTTTTACAAGTGTTTAGTAACTGTTACTGGCAACATGTTATCCCACAGTTCATAATACATCAAAGAGGAAAGAAAAATTCAGGTATTGTCTCACCTGCATGGACAGGTACAAACTCCTGATCTCGTCTAGTTTACACAGAAGTCAACCATCATCACAGGTTTCTCCCAGTCAGTCAGGACAGGAACGTCAAGAAACGCATGAACTAAGGATGAAAGGATAATTACTGTAGTATGATGCAAAAACATCTTACTAATAGATAACACTGACTAACCATGAAAGATCCCGGTAATCATAATGCTTTAATAGATCATTGCTATTGGAAACTTTAAGGTGTTTTTAAGCACATTACTGGTTGTGTGTTATGCCTCACGGTTTGTAACAAATCAGAAAAAGGTTGTAAAGTGTTGTTTCACCTGTACAAACTCTTCACTGTGTCTTCAAGTCAACAGGTTTGCCAAGACATCATTTGGTCTGGTGTGGACAGAAGTTGTCCATCATCACGTTTCTCCCACTCAGGACAGGGACGTCAGGACAGGAACATCAGGACACACCTAAATGATATGATGAATACCGGGTAATTAGTGTGATGCTCCCACAAAAATTCCAGGCAACATTGAGTGACCATAAAAGATAAAATAGATAAAATCCTTCAATCATACAACCCCTTTGCTTAGATATGTTCACATAGAAAAATAAAGTTGTAAAGCATTGTCTCACCTGTATACAATCTCTTCACTTTGGTCTGTCTTTAACTTTAAGTCAGCTGGTTGGCTGAGGCCTGGTTTGGACAGGAACATCAGGACTGCTGACCCTAATTATATCTATATAAAAGAACAATTGATGCCAGGTATGAATGGACAACTAGCTACCAGGCAAAGATGCACTCTTGCGACTTTGTACTTTGCCTCTTCCTAGAAATGTAAACAAGTGCTTATATACCAGACATTTATTCAAGAAAGGCAACACAAAATTAATGTGAAAGATGTTTTGCTACATGTGTGTTATTTTTATAAAGTGTAAGACGTAAGGGAAGAGTGCTAGAGTCAAACAGATCTTCTAAAGCATTGTCTCACCTGTGGATGCTGTTGTTTTCATCTTGCTCTTGTGTCTCTAAATCACCTGATCTGGTCCAGTCTTCTCTTGTCAGGTCCAGACAGTAGTCTTCCCTACTGCATCAGTCAGCAGCCACCTAACTGCAGACATTAGAAGTTACACACTTGTCTCAAATAACAAAGTAAATAGTAGGTTGAATGCAGAACTAAGATTTTTCTTACCTGAGAGTCATCATCAGTCTTCAAATCACATGATCTGGTCCGATCTTCTCTTATCAGGTTTATGAAGAATTCACCACTACTGCATCAGTCAGCAGCCACCTAACTATACAGACAGTAGAAGTTACACACTTGTCTCAAATAAGACCAAATTAGGTAAAATGCAGAATTGGGATTTTTCTGAGCTGATATTCCTCTTGAATCTTCAAATCATTTGGTCAGGTCCTATCTGTCTTGTCACTGGTTCAGACATATATAAGTCTTCAATGCTGCATCAGTCAGCAGCCACCTAACTATACAGACATTAGAAGTTACACACTGTCTCAAAGAACATGAAGTAAATAATAGGTTCAAAACAGAATTCAGATTTTTCTCACCTGATATTTCTCTTGGGTCTTCAAATCATCTGGTCTGGTCCACTCTGTCTTCTCAGGTTCAGACAGTAGTCCTCACTACTGCATCAGTCAGCTGCCACCTAACTACAGACATTAGAAGTTACACACTTGTCTCAAACAATACCAAGTAAATGGTAGGTAAAATGCAGAATTGGGATTTTTCTCACCTGATATTCCTCTTCGGTCTTCAAATCATCTAGTCTGGTCCACTCTGTCTTGTCAGGTTCAGACAGAAGTTCTCACTACTGCATCAGCCTTCATCTAACCATACATGCATTATAAGTTGGACACTTGTCTCAAATTAAAAACTAGCAATGCACACACACACACACCTTAAATATCTTTAAAACAAACACATACCTCGACGAAAACTCTATATACATAATGACCATAAAAACGGGGATAGAAACAATAAAATAAATCAACCCCCTTCAACTGAAACTTTATGTGGAATACAAAAAAAATTGGGCGCAAAATATTTTGAAAGCAAGAATTGCTACCTTCAAGCATAGTCAACTGTAGTGTTTGCACCAGAAATACTTGGGCTTGATGACTATTTACTGAATTACTCTAAAAAGGAAACGAACAAGCTTTTAGATTATAAATGATACATTGCATTAATGATAATAAAGAACGAATTTTAAAGTATGGTCAACTCAACTTAACTAGTTTTCAACCGTTTTGTATCGTATTCATTTCGGCGCATTGAAGCTTTTGAGGCCCCCATCTTGTTTACGCAAATTTTGGCGGGAAAAAAAAGCACATTCCAACAGGTGTTTTGACCCACGTGGAGATATTGAAAGAGAGAAGATGGTTTGGTCAAGGCAGAATTTCTTTCGACAAATATAACCTCAAAACGGTGAACAACTGACTGAAAAGACACGCACATAAATTTAACACTCTACAAGTGCAACACACATTGAAAATGTTGTTGAAAACGCGGCAACTTGGACTTTTCTAAGCCTAATGTAAAATTAGGAACGGTCGCTACCTAATACAGAAATAGTTCATTATTTCTTATGGAATATGTTGACATGTTCGTACTAGTTGCTAAGGAATAATGTCAGCCAAACAATGTACTGGTTTACCTGAAACAATGAGCGAAGTCGTCTCCATTAGTCCATACCACGCTACTCTTCCCAACTGTCTCGCCATTTTTGTCTTCTCCAAAATTCGCCAGGTCAGGAAATCCGCAATTTCTCCTCAAAACATCACCAGAACGGCACAAATTCACAGCGAAAACTCTCACACATTCTGCTGCACACTTACTAAGACATTCTACCGACGAAAACGTCTAAAGGTACCCAGAAAGTTGTGAACAAATCAGCCCAGAGTATCCCCGTCGTACGAAAGCGCCATTTTGAACGCTCAGACCATACCAAACTTGTTTTTACACAGGTGTGCAGCCGGCCGTGCATATTAAATTAATGTGAAGTTGATAATCTAATTATGACGACCAATGACGGCCCACTTAGAACCATGGTGTCCAGAATACTTGTCACGCTGTCAGAGGTCTCTGTTCAGTTTTGTTCAATAACGCCTGTCAGCCATGATAGTACACTCTGGGCTGCCACGTTTACATGAGTTTCCAACAACAAAGTACGGAACGTCTGTGCCCCACGGGCCTAAAATGATGACGTACGACTCGTCCCCGAAGTACGGTGGCCGATAGGGACAAGTCTTCTCAACACACTAACTTTTGTCTTCTCCACACTGACTTTTGTCTTTCTTACACTGACTTTTGTCTTTCGTACACTGACTTTTGTCTTCCGTACCGTACACTGACTTTTTACCCTACTCCACTTATACGAAGACAAAAGTCAGTGTACTGAAGACAAAAGTCAGTGTACGAAAGACAAAAATCAGTGTACGAAAGACAAAAGTCAGTGTACGGAAGACAAAAGTCAGTGTAGGGAAGACAAAAATCAGTGTACGAAAGACAAAAGTCAGTGTACGGAAGACAAAAGTCAGTGTACGGAAGACAAAAGTTAGTGTGTTGAGCAGACTTGTCCCTATCGGCCACGGTACTGAGGACACGTTTGCCCCGCGGCGTTGGGTGGATCCACCGGACTTACGTAAGTTACAACTTGCGTTGTGTCATTAGCTATATATAGTATGGGTGGGTGGGTGTGTACGTGGTGAGAAGAATCCTGTGCTAAACAAATGTCTTGTTTTCTGGCAAGAATCTTGTTGACTCCCTCTCTGACCTCAGAAACATGAGTGTGTCCGGCTCAAGTGTGGAGGAGAGAGAAGAAGAAGAAGATGTGTTTGAGTGGGATGAGACAGGAGGACAGGCCGAGACAGGTAAGTTGCCTGAACGAAATCCCTGCTTATTATCTCTGCCTGGTATTATATAAGTAAAGGTCAGATGTCTAAATCATCAATTTCTAAAAGGCGTCTAAAATAGTTGATTTGATTTGATTTATTAGACTGTATAAATATATACAGCCAGGACTGCCCAACTAGCCGGAGGTATATATTATAAAGGGCTAGCCCTCACAACAAGAACATAAACAATTAAGAACAGGTAACAGTTAACAGTGGTTAACACTTCAGATAAACATACCATTAGTACATAACGGACGTTTTGGCCTAACGTTAACAAGCTATGCAATCTGGTCTAGTCGTCATGCGTTTACCATAATTACACTGTGTACTATATCTACATTCATATCACAAATTTCGATTAAGCGGACTTGATCTCCAGGCATTGTTGTGGTATGTTTACTACTACTCATGAATGTCAGTGTCATTTGCTGGGAACGAAAAGGCCATATCGTCTGGGGTCGTGTGGCGCAGTCGGTAGCGCGTTCGGCTCACACCCAAGAGGTCACAGGTTCGAATCCTGCCCATGTCACCGATCTTGTGCCCTCGGGAAAAGCACTTTACATGACTTTCCCCACTTCACTCAGGTGTAAATGAGTACCTATCTTCGGCTATGGACGTCCCTCGGATAGGACGTAAACTGGAGGTCCCGTGTTTGAGGAGAGAGCCACACCTCGAGCACGTTAAAGATCCCACCACACTTTTCGAAAAAGAGTAGGGGCATGTCCCTGTGTGCGATGGTACAAACGCTACTGTATGGAGTTGGTGATTCAATTCAAATCACCCGAATGGAGGCCTGGCGAACCCCTGTTCCGTATCAGCCACATGGTGATTACATAACCACATGGTGATTACATGATTTGATTACATAACCACACGTGGTGATATTACATAACCACACATGGTGATTACATCATCACCCGCGGCCGTCTTGCATTAAGCTAATGAGAGGGCATGTCACCTCGTAAGGGGCTCGTTAGGGGCGGTATAGCCACTGTCACACCTGAGACTTAAGGTCAACAGAACATACGATATATTTGAGGAAGAAATCATATATTTTAGAGATCTTGGAAAATACAGTTGGGAGGCGACTTTGATGCGACAGTAGGGCGAGGAATCATATCATGAACAACAGTTCCAAAATTTCATACCTTCGCCAAATGAAGGTACTTTTCGTGTTAGCAAAATAAGTCGAGAATCTGTTTTTTGTAGGCAAGTTACCGTTGAGAAGACCAAGGTCAAGTTCTAAAATGGGCCCTGTGGGGGGGGGTGTCCCCTACGTCACGGCAGCGGACCTTTGTGTTTGTTTGTTTGCCAACAGGGCAACACATTGTACTTGTGAAAATATTGAATTTGTGTAACTTTGTTTTCATTTCATGGTCTTAAAACAGATCCACTGCTGCCGGCGGAATCTTCCCACGGCCCGCCAACGCCGACAGAGGATCGTCGCCTCCGTCTGAACGTCAGCGGGATGATCTTCGAAACCTGGGAGAGCACCCTGAACAGATACCCCAACACCCTGCTCGGAGACCCCGCCCGCAGGGAAAAGTTTTACTGTCCGGACGGAGACGAATATTTCTTCGACCGTCACCGCCCCAGTTTCGAAGGTATTTTCCGCCTCTACCAGAGGGGACACAAAGCTACAGCAGACTACGAGAACAAGATGGAGAAACCCCTGAACGTCCCTGTGGAGATTTTCTACGCAGAGATGAAGTTTTTCGACATCGATGAAGCCATCATTAAGCAGTGCCTTGAGGATGAGTGGTACAGCTTGGAGGAAGACCCTTACGCTGATCTACCTACCATAGAGCCACAACGGTCCATCTGGCTGCTCTTTGATTACCCAGAGAGTTCGGTAGCCGCTAAAGCCATCGCTGTGATTTCTGTGAGTATCATATTTGTCTCCATAGCGGTGTTCTGTGTGGAAACTATTCCTGGATTTGACGCTAACCCTCTAGATTCTGCAATGTTCTCAAACGACACCATAATGGACCCGCTGTTCCGTGCATATGAAGACCAACTCTTCTGTGTGGAGACCGTCTGCATTATCTGGTTCTGCTTCGAACTGATCATTCGATTCTACGCGAGTCCCAACAAATGCAGCTTCATCAAAGACGTCATGAACATCTTTGACATTGTTGCCATCGTTCCCTTCTTTGTTGACCTCTTTATGATTCTTGGTGGTTTTCAGCTTCAGAAAGGTTCCACTACCTCCGTCTTCGTGCGCGTGCTTCGACTCTTTCGCATCTTTCGGATCCTCAAACTCTCCCGGCATGTAAAAGGGTTGCAGGTACTTGGGAGGTCTCTTCTTGAAAGCATGGGATCTTTCATTCTTCTATTGTTCTTCCTCTGTGTCGCTATGATCCTGTTTGGAAGCTTTTTATACGTTGCTGAACCTAATGATGACTGGAACAGCATTCCGGGCACGTTTTGGTATATCATAGTCACTATGACAACAGTGGGTTACGGTGACGTCTATCCGACAAGTTTCGCTGGAAAGCTGATCGGGGGAGTGACAGTTGTCTGCGGCATTATGACACTTTCCCTCCCCAGTCCCGTCATCGTCACAAACTTTATCAAGGCCTGGGGGATGTCCAAAAACGTCATTGCGACTCGAAACAAGGGCTCAAAAATAGACAAGAAAGATGAAAAGCATCACCAAAAGTTCTTGGAGTACGCATGGGTTGGTGACGTCGACATCGATAAGGCAAAGGGGAGGCTGTGGGTGACTCCAAGGCACTACATGCTGTATGGGGAACCGGAAAGCAAAAAGGAAGATCCGAAAAAGACAATATCTTCACTACAGAAATATTTGTACATGGGGACCCCAGAGGGGGAGGGAGAATTTTACGTGTGACCTTATAATCGTTAATGACCCGCCACCGAATGAAGCCACAGAGTGAGCGCAGCGAACGAGGTGGCTTT